GGGGGGGGGGTGAAATTTATTTGTGTTTTAATGAGAATTCGGGAATTACGGTATATTTGACGGCATGGCACACATCGCTGCCGACGCGCCTGCATGACGAAGTGCCATGACGAAATATCGAACGTCGCACGCGTGACAGTCTGTGTTTAACATTGATTTCTTTGTGTTGGTGCCGCCCGGTAAGTGCCTCCCGGCACTGTCTCTTAAGCAGCCAATCTCGAAGTACTACCTGCAAACTCGGCAATCTCGCATTCGATGAATCCATTGTCTATACCGTATATAGTGCACTTGCCTGCGGAACCGTTCCTTCCGGACCGCGATATACCGCCGCCGGAGGTACTCCCCGTTCGGTCGAATATCCTCTTCCACAATCAGCCGTCTGATTTCCTCCTTCCAATTTTCGACGTTCCCCGTAAGCCTATATATATTCGCATCGATTCCCGCCGTACTTGAAAATAAATCAAAGGCAAGCGACATCAAAGTCGGTACATTTCGGTGGTCCGCACCTAAATCGCTGCCGTATGTTTGCTTCTGTCGTGCGATTTTTCGAGCGTAAATATATGCATGAGCTCCCTTTCTCTGCCACTAGAGTTCCATTTCACATTGATTGTACATTGGCAAGCCCCATTTCTATTCTTTGATTAAGAGAATTATACAATCGAATCGAGAATATCAATCAGAGAATTTGTTTTATAAGATAATAACGTAATTATATACACTGTATATATGCAACGCTAGAAAATTGGAATAATGAATTGTTATTTGACATAATTTATGATAATTTTCATAATACTAAAAAAATAATGTAATTATAGAAAAAGAAATATATTTAAGCTACATATTTATAATGCGAAATATAACAATAAAATCTTTGAAGTCGTCTTCTGTAAAAATCATGTTTTTTTTAGCTTTACATACCTCTCTCTTTTTTTTAAAAACCACTAAATCGACTTTTAAAGTTGTTTATAAATTTCTTTAGAAATAAATAGATTTATTAGATTTATATATATATATATATTTAATTATTTAATTTATTGTTTATAATTACTTATAAAATGTAAAATACAAAATGCAAAATACACAAATGATGAGGTATCAGTAAGGCTGCTGTTACAAAGTCTATCAAGATAGGTATAAATAGCAAAAAAATAACAGAAAAAATTCGAATAACGTAATACATACAATTAAAATACAAACGCCATGCGTACTTGCCACGCGTACACGCATGTATGAAATGTACATAATAAGTTATACATACCGCGCGCGCGTGTATAAATATATACACATCCACACAAGTGAACTCGTACGCTCAAGTAAAGAAGGAAGCAGGATAAAAGAAAATTTGTCCTACAATTACAATTAAGTAGCGAAAATGATTCGTAGGAGATAATGTAGTTGATCACCGTAGTGTAAAAAGAGGATAGAAAAGAAAGAAAAATTTAATAGAATTAAGAAGGCAATTATTATTGCATTATTACACTATTTGCAACATTACATATGTATAAAGTAACTCCGTTTACACTCCATTACGTATCTATATACCTTTTTATCTGTCATCCTAGAAACAACCTAGAAACAACGTACTTTCAGAGATATACATGCGTTATACGCAAATGTAATACCTCTGTAATAGTTAGTGTTTGTACATGTATTGTACATAGTAGGCATAACATAGCATACGTCCGAAATCACGACTGACCTAGTCTCTGTGACGTGCATTCATATGATAAGTATGTCATTAGCGAAACTACGCTAATGGCCTTGCCGTAATTTGAATCTCGCGGAAACTTGTCGAACGTCCGTATAAACTTCAGGATTTCCTGCCGTACGAAGATGACAAATGTACATGCGATGTACGCGAATCGTAATGTAGTCATTACGATTGATGTAGTCATTATACCAGGCCGGATTATCAAATGCTTAAAATCGCTTACTAATGTTTAATGTGACTATAATGCACTTATATTCGTATTATTGTACGTATTTTAAAGGCGAATAGTTGCAAAATTGTATCAAAACTATCTTTATACGTTCTTTTTTCTTATCACTGAGTTAAGATATCCTAATCTGTAAGAGGCGCGGTTAAAGAGGCGCGACTGTGTCGCGAAGTAGCGCGCCTTGCGGGCGACTATAGTTAGTTTAGGCGAAGCGTTTTTGTTATTCAACGATCAAGGAATCGTGTGGCGCGTGCGAGGCAGTCTCAGTTACACCACATTGGCGATAGCACGTTGGTTTCCTTTTGTAATTTCTCGGCAAAATATATATTGTTCCTGACATTATAAAACTGTGTTTTGGATCGGCCTCTCACAGTTTTCTCAGAAGTGGGATACGCATGCGAATAAGACACGC